GAATTAGAATTCCGTATTCGATATTGGGTAAACATGTGACAAAGGATGGATCATTTTCATGTCGTACTCGATATCTTTGGGGTGGATCGAAAATGGTTGGTCCTTGCTTCTCGTTACTTTTAACGACGATATAAAGTTTGATGGTTTTACCAGAGGGAAAATGATAAATCGTCGAGACGGGTGTCGAGTGGTACACGTCAGTTTCGAGATAAGATGAATTGTATGTTCTGTATGTTGGTTTTCGGTGTACACGGTAAGACTGACAAATTACTAAGGTGTTCCAAGGGATTTATCACGCGTTGGTGTAACTTGGAACAGAATTACGGTGTTTTGTCTGGCTACCTCTTGACTTCACTTATTTCAGAGCGTTGTGTACCGACACAGTTGCGAAGGGTCAAGGTTTTCTTCTTTTCAAGTTGAGTTTACTCTATGAAAGAGGAAAGTCTTCAACAAAATTAAAAACTTTATCCCCTATCTTTTCTACCACTATGGTTATTATGAAAAGGAATACATACTATAACATTCTGACATTGAGTTATGGCAAAATAATCAATCACCTTTAGGTCCAATGAATTAAAAGGTTTGGATGACAATGGTTATTTATCACTGTCGAAGTGTAAGGAAACTGAAAGGTTTTCAAGACAAATTATTTTCGAATAATTGAACCATTTCACCTCGACAAAAAGTAAACTTATCCCCTGGACGATTATTTGTAATTCTTAAGCGATGAACAGAGGCTTCGAAATCGAGCGTTTTAAGGATTGAATTTCAGGTACCTTGTTTCGCTAGATCGACCTTGGAGTTCTTCCGGAAAATTCTTACGATCGCGATGTTATCCAACGAAATTCAATTTGCCACGGTCTACGTAGCACCCCTACGGGATTACGACATTCAGATCACGTAATTGGAAGCCTATTACCCTCGATCAAGGTTCATCGTTATTTTTCTTCGTGTCTCGGGGGTTTAAGCGAATCCGACTGCGATTTTTCGTTTCGTTCTCCATACCCAGAAGAGAGGTACGAGCAACCTGGATTTCATCATCGCTCTTCATTCATCAAATATTCTAACCCGTCCTCCAAATTCAAGATCGCAAACGAAGAATTTTATCGTCTCTAGAAAAGATAACGTGCGTTATGGACAGAAAGAGGGATAGTTTCGAGGGGTGGATGCAGGACCATTCGGCCAAGGACGTGTGGGGTCAAGTCCTCGGTATGCAACAGATAGTTGCAATGCACAGTTCGTGGTCTTCTCTAAGAAAAAGGAGCTGTTTCGATTTACTTATTGAATTAACAGAGAGCTTAGACCAGTGGGTGCTTTTTCCAGGGTGGGTTAAGTAGACCCCTTTTTTGCTCGATTATTATGTACACAGACGTTTTTTGCCAACATTTCCTACGACCTTTTTTTGCCCTCCGACAAACTACTTCACGTTTTTTTTCGTTAATCGATCAATCGTTGGCTAATGTAGTTCGTGCAAAATGCTGAAGGGTGAACTTTGATAAATAAGATAAATGTACCTCGCGTGGTTGAAGAAAATTTAGAAATTATTATTCAAATTCTTTGGAACAACCTAACTTTTCGAAATCGTCGATTAAATTATAAATTGTTTAATGTATTTCAGTTTTTATGATCACTGAAGAATGTACCGATCGAGACAGAGGTAGAATTTGTTCATCGACGCACTTAGATCATGGATCTTCATGGATCCTTTTATCGAGGATCAAGAGATATACGCTAGATGGAGCTCAATGTATATTAGTAGAAGCGAATTGAAAAATCCGCTCGGTTGGCCTCAGGCAGAGAAAGCTTGAACCAGCCTCGAAGGCTTCAGCTGATATCGTAGTCGCCTCTTCTTCTTTTCCTTTCACCACCGTGGCATATGTCACGTCAGGGCCGTACTATTTTCAAGAAAAATGATCGAACAGTATTATTAAATAATTGTTTGATTACACAGCATTCGAGACGTGGGTCGAATTCATATTTAATCTTCACCGGATAATAAATTATTATTGAAATGTCACTCGATAATGCTTCGAGCTCCGAATAAACTTGTTTATCTAACACCATCGTAATTAGCATCAAACCATAAAATCAATTAGCAACGTTATTACGAGGGGTTATAACGTCCCTAATGGAACATTACCAATTTAGATAGACGCAGCTTCTATTAGATCAGCGCTGCGGCGAGGTTGCTGCTTCGATAATCTGAAAGCGATTTAATTGATGCAAGCAATTACAGTAACAATTAACCAACCAAGAGAAAATCATTGGCATTCTACCTAAATAATCATTCCTCGAAATAGACGTCGTTTCGAAGGATCACGGAGTTCCTTTCATCGATCTTCCTCGTTGAGATTCTTTTTTTACAGTTGAATCTCTGAATTATTTACAGAAACCTTGGTCTGTTGATTGACAGAGGAGAAACGACGATTACACAATTCATTTTTGACTGACAGAGTGTCTATCCAATTTTTTTATGCTTATTACGAAATTAAACTTTTTATTTTTAATCCCAACAACCCTTATATTAGTATCTACTATAATAAGCTTAGACCTTCAAACGAAGAACAAATGATTGATTGCGATGCACGATGCATCGTTATCGTTTCCATGGATCACTTTCTAAACCCATCTAGCGAGATTGAAGATCGAGGATCACAGAAGATGATGAAGAGTGTTCGTTCGCCTGAATCATGCTCTCGATCAGGGCAATCATCATCGAGCTGCGCTCAGCCGGAAACGTACTTAACACGCGCTTCCGCTTCATTGTGTACCGATTCGAATAAACACGAGGGCGAGGCATCCCACACGCGGTTCTGACAAACTATCCCGAATCGGAATATTTTTCGAAGGAAAAAGTCAAGGAAGTATCATCGCGGTTCATCGAACGCGATTTCCAATGAAATTCTCCCTAAACCGTCGAGGTGTCGACAGAAAATGGACAAAGAAGTGGATGAAAAACAATATGACGCAGTTTGCGTATTTTTCGCAACAAATATTTTTACGTAACGGAGAAAATGCAAGTTTTCCATGGCTTCGAAAGTGAAACGAGCTCGGATGCAACTGCAGTCGTTTCTACCTAGATCAGTCTGTTTGCACTAGATAATTCCATTATCTTTCGTATCAATTCTGATCTTAATTGACTTCATTCTTGTAGATTTCAAATGAAATTTCAATCGAATAGCGAATTACATTGTCTTTTAATCTATCTATGATCTCCGTACTGTCTCCAATCTTTGCGAATTGGAAATAGAATTTCAATCGAACGAACCTGCGATTTTCACGATTATAGTATCGTTTAGAAATTAATTCCGCTTCAGTTGAATCGTAATTGAGGTTTCTATAAATGTGCACCGAAAGCAACTCGCAATTCAGTTGGAACGATCGTTTGTGCAAAGGTAATTAGATCTTTCTACAGGTCAATGGAACTCGCGTACCGGTCGCAACATTTCATTTTCAAGCATATCTACTTACGTTGAACGGAAAACTACTGTTGGAAAAGATTCGTTGGAAAGCGAAATAAAAATGATGTTGGTTAAAAGAAAAATTTCTTTCGGTGGTCCGATTCGAAAAGAAGTGAAACCTTTTGTATTTGCGCGTCTACCTGACCCGAAGAGTTGGTACATCGATTCAGCGAAACACACACAGTCTCGTGAAGTCATGTACTGCTATCGAAATTTCATTGTGAAACGCTTGTGAACCGGCTCGAGGTTCTGACTTTTATCGTTAAATTCATTGGAATTTGCCCTTTGCAGTAACAACCAGCTGTGCGAGCGCAAATATCTTCTCGTTCAATTGTTCGACAAACTTGTTCCTTCGCGAACGTAAGTCCAAAAATAGACACCTAAGCTTATCTCTTTTTTACTTTTCACCTTCACCCGGTTAATTACTATGAAAATATAAATTTATAGATCGCGAGGCGTTCCCGACGTCTTTGACTTGTGCGAAGTGTCAAAGGATCGATGGACGTGATTTTCAACGGTTCGGTTAATCCTACACGTTTTTAAAATAACGCTTGTGGTAACTCGTAAACAATGTATCGATCGTCTGGCTGTTTACGAGATCGAAAATTATCGCAATTCTCACGGGGGAACCGTGAACTCGACCGACCAGGCATCGATCCAACACTTTCGACTCGTAAACTTTACCAAGAAAGTCTAGGAGAATTTTACTCGGTGAAATGATTCCACCGGCAAAGTGGTTCAGATACAGAAGTTTCAGTTTGCGAAAGGATGTCTTCGAAGAAGTACACTTTTGAACTTTCAACTTCATTCCCGACATTTATACGGATAAGAGTGTAAGTTCTTCTTAACTGATGCCTCTTACTGACAGTGACAAATCTTGATCGTACCGGTTTAATTACCATAATTTTTAACTATCATGCATCCTCAAGATAGATGCATCCGACGTTATCTTTTCCCTTACTGCATCGAATATACCGCGCAGCGTAACTTATTTATAAATAAATGTTGGACATTCTCCGTGTCCCAAGGGTCAGCTCGGGACATTTGAAACATCCTGTACACAAGGCCACATTATAACGTGTCATACCTTTCCTTCGCCACCTTGTAACCTGCATCCCACAGTATATCCCATGTACAGTACGGAGCACGGTAGGTTTCCCTAGGGAAAATGCCGATGCATGGGGAAGAAGACCCCACCACTCTTCCTTAATAAATATTATTAAAGATCGAAATAATGCACGAATGAAAATTCTATATACGTTTATACAAAAGTGATGAGACCTTCGTCCCCAACAAGAAAATTGCCATTTTACCTAGAGAAGTTTATCATGTTCGCCACTGTACCAGCAATAAAAAAAAAAAAAAATAGAAACATCTGACAACTCACCAATATGTCCCATAAGCTAACGTTCTCCAGAAGTTAACCTCCTACGCCAATGGATCCCGCCAGCAGGATCGAGGCAACGTTTCTTGGATCAGCATAGATCCAGAGATTCAAAGAGGGGCGCAGCGTTTGTAACGTGGTGGTGGAAATATAAGGCCCAGTGAGTGGCGAGCCTCAGTCAGTCCGTGCACGGTACCTACGTCTTCAAGGTCCGTGTCCTTGAAGCAAGTCTCATCTTCAATTATCAAACGAGCGAATCCGCGTACAGCGCCCGCGAGCGCGCTGATCATCCAGTGGTGGCAAAGAAATTCGCGAACCCTCTACCACTGAACATCCCTTCCGGTACCTCCGGTTCCCCGCTGACACGAGCTTAGTGACCGTACGGAAGGGTGGATATCGACGGTGAGCCCGTGAAACGACTACGAAACATCGATCGCGAACAGCAACGTCGATCGCGACGAGGATGAGGTCCTCGTTGGTGCTGCTGTTCCTGGCAGCGATCGTTCTAGCCGGTGAGTAACGTGTTTCGTGGCTCTATTAGGAACTGGCCGAGCCGTATCTTGGATTTTATTTCGGACGAAATAAATTTCGGGGATGATCGATAAGGGATGATATTCGTTGGGCGATGACGAGGAGAGAGCGTGTGGTCCGGGGATGACGAACCAGCAGGAACATGGCAGCTAAGTGGGAAACATGGTGGCAGTTGTGTGTTGGAATTCGTAACGGGAATTTCAATATGGAATTGAATTTTGTCGTATGCCGGTCGACGTACGGCATAGTGACCGATCGTTTTAATCATTCCATCGTCTACCCGACGAGAAGTTACAGTTTCTCTTCTCCCGATCGATCGAACGAATCCGTAGATCGATGTACGTAACTCGTATCGTTGGGTTTCGAGCGTGAAACTTCGTACTCGATGAACCGGATGTACTTGAATAGCTAGAGAGTACATACACGTGAGAATGAAAATGGCGAGTCGACTTTTCCCCTGTTGCCGAAAACGGCGGACGAGTGAAAATCGGGCTAAACGCGATTCTTGACGGCCGCCAGAGAGACGACAGGTTGCATAAGAGATTAGAGCGTGAAAGCCTCTCTGGGCCTGCTTGGTCCCGGATAGGTGACGTCACTGCCGTGCCCCGAGATAGTAACGGGGTGGGGGAGGCACAACTTTCCCCATTTGTCGTGGCGCTGCACGAAACCGACGCGACGCCGGCTCGCGGAACCGACTGGATGAAAAACATCCAGATTTGATAAACTTTTAACCACGATCTTCGATTATCGAATTACCCATCAGACGATGAACCATTGTACAGTGTCACGAACGCCTAAATGATTTTCCTAGTTCGCCTTCGATGGACCCGAGATTTTGAAACTCTCTGTACCATATTTTATTTCTCTCGTTCAAACTTCATGAATTAAAATTATAATGCATCATATGAATTATTTAGAAAGTTCGTTTGTCATTCTTCGCGTGAAGATTCACTTTTGAAGAGCCCTGTAGTATTCTCACTTTTCAAGGAGATCCGGTGATTAAATTTTGTTGCCTTCGTAACTGAATGTTCGAGGTTTCGCGTGTCAACATTCCGCACGTTTGAGATTCACGAAGAATTTCATTTTCTTCAATTGAAAACACATCGTCGTCGAAAAATTAGCAAGTTTCGTACGGTTTCTTTTCGGCACGATCTGAACGTACTTCGTTTCTCACTCGGGAACGTGAAAATTCGAAACTTTCACGGGTTTAGCCCATCCGAAACTTTGCCTCGACGTTCTCCACTTTCGAAAACGATTCGATCGAACCGTTCTTTTCGAATATTCGCGTGTTCCTCTTCGAGAGAAGCATGAAACTTCTTCTCACGAGCTTCCGGCTTCGTGAAACCGATCGGCTCGACTTTCAGCGTGAAACTTCCTCGCGATCATTCTACTTTCTCCTGTTGGCCATCGTTCGGATCATCTTCATCTCAATAAATTACCAGCCTCGCTGTTCGAACAAATTTGCCCAGAAGATTCATGGGATTAATTAAAGTGTTCGAATCGAAAATAAAACAGTATCGTTCGAAAGGCATGAGACGGCAGCTTTCTCCGGTTTCTTGGTACTTTGATAAAGAAATTGAAACTGCAAATAGAGGAAAGCAACACGTGTTTCCGGGCGTGGAAAAATTGCACTGTTTCCATTCGCTTTCACGATAACAGCGTTTCTTTTCTATCTGAACCGTTCTGATCGAGTAAAGGTATGCCCCTTCATAAAGAAAAATCTGTATATGTATATTATTCGAAGATGAGTTACGTAAACAAGAGAAATATTCGTAAGAGTTACGTAAATAATTCTGTCGATGTTCGCTTCCGCGTCGGACAAACGTAAGCAATCGAATGTACTTCGATTAATTTAACAGTAAAAGGTGCCATTAGCACCTCGATTTCATCCTTTTTCTCTGCATCGTTTAGTTGGAAGAAAAAACAGCCGATGAAAGTTTGTTGTTCGATAGTTATTTGAAAAATAAGAAAGGTGTCGAAGGCGTTTCCAGGTGTTCCATTGATCGAGGGATAAATAACGTGTGGTCGAGATATCGTGTTGACGTTAATTTCTCTCTTTCCATAATCTCACAAGTGATACCCTCGGGATTACGCAATCGAATCGAGATTTCACTGAAGAATATTTGTGCCATTAAAAGAGCGTTCCTAATCTCATCGTGTTTCTAATCTCGAGGAACGAGCTACATTAGATAGAAGCTTTCGAAGAAACTTCATTAACATACAAAATACCCCCTTTCGATTCGGTATCGAAATTTTATCTTCGCAAGTTATTAAATTATTCTTCTCTCTAAACTTCGCTCATCGACACTTTCCCAAAGTATCGACCTCCATTTGCATTTTTTGGAACAACTATCGTTTTAGAGGGCTCGAATCGTGTGAAGCGACAAGAAGAAGCGAAAAAGGAGGACAGCTTCGAGAATGAGATCTGCAAGGACAAGGATGCTGGGGAATGGTTCAGATTGGTAGCAGGGGAGGGTGACAACTGTCGTGACGTGATCCAGTGCACCAGTTCCGGTCTCCAGGCTATCAGGTGCCCGGCAGGATTGTACTTCGACATTGACAAACAGACTTGCGATTGGAAGGATTCGGTGAACAACTGCAAGTTGAAGAATAAAGAAAGAAAGGCGAAACCTTTGTTGTACACTGAGGAACCACTCTGTCAGGATGGTTTCCTTGCTTGTGGAGATGGATCCTGTATCGAGAGAGGACTGTTCTGTAACGGCGAGAAAGATTGCGCCGATGGATCCGATGAAAATATTTGTGGTAAGCTTTCATTAAATTTTAGATATTCAAGTAAAATTGAAATGCTAAGTTAAGGATCAATTCTTAAATTGCTAATAGTGAAATTATTAATTTCCACGCTTCTATTTACCCTGTTCGTCTTCTGAATAATACCCAAGTGGATTGGAACGTTGAATATTTGCAGACATGGACAACGACCCGAACAGAGCACCTCCCTGCGACCCTGCTGTTTGCGTGCTGCCCGACTGCTTCTGTTCCGAGGACGGTACCATGATCCCTGGCGATCTCCCCCCCAAGGACGTACCTCAGATGATCACGATCACCTTCGACGATGCCATCAACAACAATAACATCGGCTTGTACAAGGAGATCTTCAATGGGAAACGCAAGAACTCGAACGGTTGCGACATCAAGGCCACCTTCTTCGTGTCCCACAAGTACACCAACTACTCGGCCGTGCAGGAAATGCACAGGAAAGGACACGAAATCGCCGTTCATTCTATCTCGTAAGAAGATACTTAATCAAAATATAAATACCTCTCACATGTTCAATCAGATTCCTTGATCGAAGCAAAAGTGTACAGGTAAAAAAGTTAGCGTTTACGCGGACCTAATGTGTTTCAAGTCACAACGATGATGAACGCTTCTGGTCGGACGCCGGCGTGGATGACTGGGCCAAGGAGATGGCCGGTATGAGGATCATCGCCGAGAAGTACGCCAATTTGACAGATAACAGCGTGGTCGGGGTGAGGGCGCCTTACCTTAGGGTCGGTGGTAATAACCAGTTTACGATGATGGAGGAACAGGCCTTCCTTTACGACTCCACGATCACCGCAGCCTTGAATAATCCACCGCTATGGCCGTACACCATGTACTTCAGGATGCCACATCGCTGTCATGGCAACCTTCAACACTGCCCCACTAGGTAATCCTGTCTAATAAAATTTCCGTATTTGATACCTTTGATGTATCATCACCTGGCCGGAATGATCACGAACCAAGCAGCTACGCGGTGTCAATAAATTCCACCAAGTAGCAGCCTGGTTCAACCCCTTCGTCCCTTGATCGAATCTCTTCCCCAGGTCGCACGCCGTCTGGGAGATGGTGATGAACGAGTTGGATCGTCGCGAGGACCCCCAAAACGACGAGTACCTACCTGGTTGCGCCATGGTGGACTCCTGCAGCAACATCCTGACCGGTGATCAATTCTACAACTTCCTGAACCACAACTTCGACCGGCATTACGAGCAGAACCGTGCTCCACTGGGACTTTACTTCCACGCAGCCTGGCTGAAGAACAACCCCGAGTTCCTGGACGCCTTCCTCTACTGGATCGACGAGATCCTATCAAATCACAACGACGTGTACTTCGTGACGATGACCCAGGTGATCCAATGGATTCAAAACCCCCGCACGGTCACGGAGTCGAAGAACTTCGAACCGTGGAGGGAGAAGTGCGTGGTCGACGGACCGCCAGCCTGTTGGGTACCGCATACTTGCAAGCTTACCTCGAAAGAGGTGCCCGGGGAGACCATCAATCTGCAGACCTGCGTACGCTGTCCCAATAATTACCCATGGGTGAACGATCCGACCGGTGACGGCTTCTTCTAGGCCCTAACTTGTCGCGTTCCTCCTTCTCGTCTAAGTCAAACACTCTGATCTTGATCTTCCTGCAACCCCATACTCCTCTACCCCCTCTTAGCTCGTCCTGCCCATTGGTCGGTCCATTCTTCACGAGTTTCACGGTGGACGTGGGGTCGTCGACGACGTTTTCGTGCCTGAAACAAGGTCCAGGTTAGAGACAGTCCGAAGAATGCGAAACAGGGTACACATATCGAACGCGCTTCTCTCGTCTTTCAAGGGTAGAGAATCGAGAACGATGTCAAGACGGATCCGTCCAACGACGTGATCATCGATCATCCTTATCCTGGACCGGTTCACGGACGAAAACCGTCCATCACGTCACCAGCGATCTGTGATAATGTTTCTTTGCGCCTCGAGATTCAGCGACCAGGACGACGAACACGACGCGACAAACGACGAGACAGTGAAACGAACTACCCCCCTCCCCTCCCCCCGCACTTCAATCCCCTACACTTTCTTATCCCAACCACCTCGATGACGATCGAGGGATTTCTCGCTGGCCTTAAAAGACCCAAACGTAAAGAAACGACGACACGGGATCGCAACAATGGACGGCCCGAATTTTGTGTAATATAGAAACGCGTGTCCCTTTACGTGTTCCCGAATGATCCTTGCTGCTCGAGAGGACACGACTAATTTAGCTGGAAGGTCGGACCGGTGTCCTGTAACCACGGGAAAATCGATGATCCCTCAGCAACCGCCAAAACTCTTTCCCCCCTCCCCATGAACGGCGGTCACCCTTATTTTTCTAAGGGTCAGCTGAACTTATATATATAAATATATATAAATATTGTGTATGTATATTATTAAAGCTAAGTGATAATATCAATCTACTGTTCTCGAGCCTTTAATAAAAGAGAAACCAGCGAAAAACGAGTGTCTCCTTCATCCCCACCCCAAGTCTGGCTCTGCGTGTCGAAAGTGGAACAGATCCGAAACGAATTCGACTGTCAAGTTCAGAGATCCTCTTTTGTCGTTCATTCGGGTTGATGGCCTTAATTGCTGCTAAATTCGTTATTCCTCCGATTCTAATTAAACTTCGAGAGCCGGAAAGCTTCATTACGAGGACCCGCACAGAATTTCGTTGAAATTTTCTCATTTATTCATCGTAGCTATAATTTGAGATGGAATCAGAAGGAATAAAAAAAGTTAAGGGTTCGTTTAAAGAATCAGAAATTAGAGCATCCGGAGTATGCTATAAGATCAAGGTCGGTCTGGATATCGGCGAATTTGCAATAAGGTTACAGTTACGAAATCGACGGGTCGTTTTTCGTCGATGGAAATTGGAACGGCGTCGCGTGTGCGTGGTCGACATTGCGGACAAGTGACAGGCTTTAACGCACACTGCGACCGAGAAAACGTCGACGGCATTCTTCGTGCCACGTAGGTGTGACACGAGAAAGGAAAAATTATCTGCACATTAACATTTCACGCGTGTTATAAATTGAAAAATTAACGGGTGAAATATCGTTAATGACTTTTCAATGAAACCTTCGTATATCTGATTAGGAAGAGAAAGTTTCGCCAAAAAATTCTTCACAATGCTATCGATCAATTAGCGATAAAATCAATTGGTTCGACTTAGTTTATAGCCAGGATAATTAAAACACAAGAAGCTATTCAATTCCGAAGCAAATATTTAAAAAACACGTCATCGAGCACCGTATAAAATGCTTATGTTAATCACAGTAATAACGGTACAAGAAAAGCAGGATAATGTACAAAGGGAATAATCTATCGAAGAATAAAATCACCGTGAATCAAGTAAAATGGCATTTAATGGTACGGTAGCAAGAAAAGTGATTGAGCAACGATGATATTACAATGGCAAGCTATTAGCTCGTTCGTTGATCGATTGTAATGGTACAAAGTGGTTTATCGTTTGAATTCAACAGAAAATTGCGAATAGACGGTTTGCCATTAGTTTCCGCATGATGGAAAAAGAAAGGACGCGACAGAAGGCAGTGGGGTAAAAGCATGGTAACCTCGTGAAATACCAACCGGCCGACGCTCACTGACTCGAGGTGACGATTGCATTCCGATGCACGGCCATTCTTTCATAGCCGTTGTTTTCTTATTTCATACGATAGCCGTGGAATCCCGAAATTGAACGTAGAAACACCGCTTTATGAACGGACGAGAATGCACCTTGCGAGGAACGGTAGAGACCTCAAAATAATAGTCCAAGGAGATTCGGAGAATTCGTGGAAATAATTGAACGTCTAAACAAATCGGTATTTCAAATACAGGCCTTCTTTTTCCTCGTATTAGCATTATTCATCGATAAACGGAACGCACGGTATCTGCATAAAGAATTTCATCAATGAATGTACAGCGCATCGAACGAACGCTTGCACCCACGCGTTACGGGGGAAACGGTAAATGTCGCAATTAAATTCCGCTATCTCGGTCGCATAAATCTTTGGAAAATGCGATACTTGAAACGCAGGCCAACATCGATATAATTCGCCAAGATACTTATCACGGTTAATAAATCATTGCTACCGTAGTAACTAATTATTTTCCATACCCGGTGAACGATAATCAGCGATGTTTTTCCTCTTTCATTCACTCGAAATTGATCTCCCTTCGAGGAATGCACGCGAGCCGAGGCGATAAATGGCGCGAAGAACAGGCACGGTAACAGGCTGAAAATCTCGCGTAAGCGAAAGTAGAGAAAGCTGTGGCAAGGCCGTCCCTGGCTAAGGCTCCTTCGACAGGATACCGGTCGGATCATACAGGAATCTCATTAACGTACTCAGCCATGGTCGAGTTGCAGAAAGGTATGGTCGTTTAGGGAAACGAACGAGAAAAGGCTGTAAACTAACGCACAGTCCGACAAAATCTCGAATAACTGAATAAATTTTTGTTATAACGTTAAGCAAGGAATTTTTCATTATTTATTTTTATCTTGGAAATTGTAGATTGTTGTTCAGAAAAAAATTACCATGTTTTCAGTGAAAAGTAGGAACGAGGATCAGCGGAACGTCAAGAAAGCGGAGATATGAATATTCAAAACGTCACCAACGTTAAGAGAGTGAAAATCTGAAGAAGTCTGATTCCCCTTCTGAACCATTCGATTTCAATATCGACCCGATTTCTCCATGGATTTGTACCAATGCTATCTTATCTGATCAATATCGAACAAGGTGTTCGTGATTCACGGACACAACGACAGTGTCAGTGTCAGCCTGGCCCTGAAACATCGAATTTCACGTCGATAAACATCTGTTTATTTAACTCTTTCGTTGTAACCGTCTTTCTGAATTAAATTACAGATATCATTTTTCTATTGAACAAATTTTCTCGCCTACTCGTCGCTGGTCATCGTCATTTGAAAGTCAACGATACCGATATCGATGGAATTTCACGTCGAAGACTTTTGCGACGCACCTTTGAAGAAATGGAAGTCGGTGAAATTGACTGCTATTAGGTCAGTGGGCGACGGAAGCCAAATACCATGACTGCGATTATTTGTCTCCTTTCGCGCGGGCAGGTGTTAATTGAACTTCTCCTACCATGGACCAACTATGGTGTACGATCGACGCCAGTTTGTAATATCTTGATAGCTGGGAGAGTTTCACTTATATCATTCGCTGCAACTACAATTTTACATTGCGACATAAATTTCCATTATGTTTGTTAATAAAACACTGAATCCCCTTTCAACATTCTAATTTAAAAAACAACATTCTTTGAATACTTTCATGACTTACAGTATTACACGTCAGTGCTTGAATAAAATGAAAGAAATTATTAAAGAGTGATTAGTATTAATAGATAAAAAGATGATGAAATATAAAATAAAGAAATAAATTGTTTATTTGTGAAAAAAAAAAAAAATTTCCTTCGAGCCGGATTCGAACCAGCGACCTATGGATATCTTCCGTAATACGTAACCTCTACAGTCCACCGCTCTACCAACTGAGCTATCGAAGGATTGTACCAAACCTTCTCTAAATGTCACAGATATGTTCCATATACTATATTTCAAACAATTTTATTAATTTATCCATTAAAATGCACTATTAATAATAAACTAATGCTATGGAAGATCGCATAAAACTCTTGGCATTGAAAAAAATATAAAATATGTTATATTCCCCCAAAAATCATTCAACATCTATGTTCAATGACAAAAATGATACCACCCAATAAAGTACCTAATTTGCAAGTGTAATTTCAAGACAATTCACGGTATTATTGATAAAAATATTCCTTCGAGCCGGATTTGAACCAGCGACCTATGGATGTCCATTCTCCCTTTCATTTACAACTACAGTCCACCGCTCTACCAACTGAGCTATCGAAGGGGTATGTACAGCACCCCTTCAGCCCCAATTGTAATAGAATTTTCATTCAAGCGTGTGATTAAAGAAGAAGCAGAGTATTATCGATGAATTTTGATAAAAATATTCCTTCGAGCCGGATTCGAACCAGCGACCTATGGATATCTTTTCTGAAAGAGCACAAACAACTACAGTCCACCGCTCTACCAACTGAGCTATCGAAGGTCCGTGATCGTTGCTCCGACGAGGATGCTACAGTAAATCAAATAAATCTTTTGCTACTGAAGCGTCAAAGAGAAAGGAGGCTGATGGTTTAAAAGAAAAAGTCCAGCCGGATTTGACCTATGAATGTCTTTTACAACAGACGAGATCGAACAATCGTACTACCTTGCTATTTTATCACGAATACTCGATATTTTCTATAAATTTCAATTTTAAAAGCTTATTTATATTTCCATGGCGACTCTGTCATATTCTAAGTATCTAAACTTATAGATTTGTATGATTTTCTATCTATTCCATTAAACTCGTCAACGAAATTTCGCAATCATAAATCGGTACAGTTCGGCGGAGAGAACCGCGTCTGGCTCGAGTGAAATACAAGCAGACCGGAAATTTGTGGCGTTTCTTAGACGCTTTCAATGTAACTGGAAAGACGTAACGCATAGTAATAAACCGCGTGGTAGCGCTACCGGTATTACGGGATCGTTACGGATGGCCGAGTAAAAATTCTCAGCCCGCCTAGTTTTAACGAGGAATAAATCACACGAAACAGTAGTCGATCGATACGAGTCAGTAAACGGAAAACGATTGCGCAGATCCACGTTGAAAAACTGCCTAACGATCACGCGGTCTGCACAATGATAAATGTGAGTAAGTAGGGTGGTTGGGAAAAAGAAAATTCTCAGAATTACTTCCTCGTAATTCTCTGAGTATGTCAATGAAGTTGGGAAAATTCATTGCTAAAGATAGATCAAAGTAAAGGTTCTTTCTTTGAATTGAAATTGTGGAAAATTGTGTTTGTAACGCCTCGGAAATGTTAGAGCTGTAAATGCATGAAGAGTTTCATCACTGACACACTTTAGTTACATTATTCCGCTGGTTGATTCTAGAAATTAGAGCACCTTGACGCGACGAAGAGAAACTTGAATAACTCAATTTGGTAGCATTATTTTAATATGAATCGTTACTGCTGTGTCGAAATCATTTTCCTTAAAATCCAGGAATCGAAGAATTCGAGGATTCTAGGATCCGAAAATCCTAGGATTCATGGTTCCAAGAGTGTAAGGCTCCAAGTTTTCAAGACTTCAAAAGTTTAAGAATCGAAATATCCAAATATCCAAAAATCCTGGAGCCCAAGGATCCAAGGTTCCAGGAGCCCAAGAATTCAAGGATCCACGACTCCAAGAGTCCAAGGATTCAAAAGCCCAAGAATCCAGTAATCTATGCTAATTCTTCATTTCCACCCAGTACATTATCGCATTCACAAGCATTTCATTTATCCTGTCGCATATTTGAAATTTCCAATGAAACATAATTACACCACTTCCTGCGACAATCTCCATTCTTTCAACCTTCGTCGTTAAAAGAGACTAACAAAAAATCCTACTACGTAAAGAAAATTCTGCCAGAATTGCATTGTCCTTCTTCTGGTCTCTCCATGATCCTGACAGTGAAGGTATTTCGAGGACAGCACCTTACGTCTGTCCATATCAAGGCTGTCCTCGACTAAGGACGACCTCGTCTCCGCCGGAAACATCGTCAAAATTCAAGAACGACTCGCGTTCGTTGATAGATAGGTTTCATAGCGACAAGAGACAGAAGAATGTACGTGGGTGTTTGAAAGAGGCGTGGTGCATAACTCGAGGACAATGCAACACGAATTCGAGAGCGGTCAGAATCGACAGAAACAGGGTCGAAAATGGGTCAGAAGGTTTTTCATCGACGATCGACTCGGTCTGGATCGCTCGTTCTGATTTTATGGACGATGGGTTCTTCGGGTCGTCGACTTTCCCTTCGAGCCACTTCGAAGGATATTGTTTTTTTCTTTTCATTCTATGGGTTTCAACTCGTTTACCTTATGTATGGTGATTGAAACCTTGATTCAGAGCATGAAATTTTTTGTCAGACTCTGATGAAATACAGGAAATTTTTTTTTAACTAATGAGCTGTTGGCTTGTTGAATTATATTTCGCAAGAAAGTGAATCAAGTTCCTTGTCCGGTAACGTTGAGGGCCATTAGTACCCAAGATGTTCTTTCAAAATCACTCGAACGAACGTTGCACTCAAGATGACTTGGGTGTCGCTTTCAACTTTCAACTCTTCTTCGAATAACCATCGTCCTTTCCTTATATTTACCTGTTGCTTATAAAGGTGTAACTGGACACCCACACGAGTTACGACACTTCTTCTCGTTATCCGTCGATGAATCTTAGATACCACCCATCGTGAAACGCATAATTTTCTAATTCCTACATAAATCGAAGATTGGATGATCAATTGCGTAACTTTTCTTACCGTGAAAGTCTCGAACGGAAACAACGTAAATTCGTTCGATCCTTAACACGTTGATCAGCATAACGAGAATGACAATTCTAGGCAATTAATGTTCATTTTTTAATCATTAGATGATAGCACTCAACGTGTTAGTTGATTTTAGATAACGAAGTAAGATCCAAAAAAAGTCGAAGAACGATCTGGTTATCGTGTTCACTGAAATTTATCATCGCTTTCACCGGGGCCACGAAATATAACCTTGTTGATAACGAGAAGCCACGTCGAGTCAGAAGCTTATCACACCCTCAGATAATTACAATTAATTATATGATACAAACATTATGAAGAATCAAGGACACTTTCACTGAAAATCTCCCTTTTAAGAATAATATTTCTTCGGGAAATAAATATTATTTTTAACCTTTAGATGAATTATCGAAAATTTGAAATATCAGCGGACAGATAATCAGAACACGTCCCAGATTCTCCATGTCGTCGGGATAGCAGCGACCGCAGATCGACCACACCATCGTTGTTCGTTTAATATTCTAGATTCACGCTGTCGGTTCATCCCGCGGATGAGGTCGGGAGACAAGAGCTCTGCGAGGTGCACAGCACCCTGGGGCCATCCGTGACTAACTTTCGCCATCAAACGTCATGTAATCCAGGGACGAGGCGGTTGGAAATCCGCTTCGTTGCTAGATTATCCGTCCACGGATCCGCTTGCATCCTTAAACCATGAGAATGACCCCGTACCTATGGGTTTTGCAACGTGTTCCGGTGCACTCGCAATAGATGAAAGATCTCAGAAACCGTGCAACGGTATGTCGAAAATAATTTGAATAAAAGATTTCATTAACTACACCTGTGATTCTACAATAAATGCCAATAACGATCCCAAGAATTTTTAATAATATTTCATCGGATGCTGCTAATTTACATAAATACATTAATGAATTAAAAAGGCTGCAAATCAATCTAGACGTGATACTTGGAAGAAAAAAAAAACGTTCCGAGTAACTTCGTATCCTGTGTTTGAAATGCAAATGAACCGAAAGAGAGGGCTTTCTCGCTGGCCGATAATTGCGAGCGTGTGTATAAAGATAAAAGTTTTGCATCACGGTTTCGTTCACTGTTTGACGAGGCGACTCGTTCGGGATGAAAGAGCAGCCGGGCGAAATTTGCAATCATTACCATTTCGATTTATTTAAGCGAAAACTGGAAGGTATCGATTATATGTATACCTTCGTCCACGATCGACCTTCCCCCTATAGACAGCAATTTCTTTTTGGATTTGACATTCAAAACGACGATAACCTTTTGAAATGTTAACATTTTATGTTAAATAATTATGGATTTTTTTATGTTTATGGAAAAATAGATTGGCTTTCGAGGCAAAAAATGTAGGATAACAAGTGCTCTCCTAAGGATTCTATTGAACATGGGAACTTTGAAATTGAATATGAAAAACGCCATCGAATATCGGACAGTGTTTCTAATGGTCAGAGAAACGAAAAGGGAATGGATACATCGGAATCGCGTCAAATGAATCGGAATGACAGACGCGTCGGCAAATATTGCCAGCAAAACAGGAACAGATCGTGCTGGGACTCGTGAAATGGTTCTTTTTCGAGGTAACGTGGCCATGACTTTAAAAGTGCTTTTTCTTTGTCTTGTCACAGGATACACGGCATGGCGAATCGAGTACGACACTCGTGCCTCGAATTAAACATTCACAACGGTGGCAAAACGAGAATAAAATGGTCGAGAAACTGTCCATTTCCAACGGACGACGTTAGAATTATTTCATGTGAAATCAGTGTGTCCTGGTTGTCATAGAAATCATCGTGTCGCGTCGATCTGCTTTCAATTCATTTGCAAAATTTTATTGTAACTGACGTTAGAAGAATTAAAAAGAGAAATCTCCTAGCAAGTGAAAACAACGAATCATTACTAAAGAAGAGGAATCTCAACATCTACTGAAATTCAAAGAATTTAATCAACATTTAATTTAACTCAAAATTAGACAGTGAAATTTGTCAACTGCCAACGATAGAACGCTTGGGTCTGGTTTCGAATGTTTTCGACGATATTTAAATTACTCGGGAGAAGGATCCCGTTAACCGGGTTAGATCGTGGATCATAGATCAAAGAACGGGTTAGATTTAATTCGAATCACGTGCCGGAAGAAGGTTCTTTCGTATGAACGACGCAACTCAACGACAACGACGTGATTTTCACCTTGACCATGGACAGGTCATCGTCCATCGTTTCACCTTAGCCAATACTTCTGTTGTGGAACAACGAAATTTCATTTGGGACACGCTGGATGTCACCTAGATGTCGTTAATACCGATTAAACGAACCCTTTTGCAACATCTTTCGAAGATAATAAGTAAAATGGAAGAATAACGGAATTCGCCATGACATGTCGCGTAAGTATGTTTCTCGTATACAAATTACAAATTCTGACCAAAGATCAAACGGGGTTTAATTACCTGGATTCCAGTTAAAAGTAAGTTATAAAACGCTCATCCCCGTTGGTAAGAGGAAAGGTGGTTTACCTTGCAGCGACGTCCCACGCGAGGCTCTGTAAGAAAAGAATAATGAAAAATCAGCGAGGAGCTAGCATAGAAAGAATGTTTGTTTTTACGTACATACCTGGGAGACATTAAACATTAATATGTTTGATGGATCGCTAGGAAAACGAAGAAATTATCCAAATATGAATTAATCAAAATCTAATATACATCATATTATTTTTCAAGAGAAGTTTCTAAACAGTTGTTTCGAAACTCGAGAAATATGTTCACATTGTTCGCGTAAATATACTCGTAACTTTCACGGTGTGCTATTTGGGAAGGATTTTAATCTACGTTGTTTGTTCACCGGTCGATGATCCGTCCAGACAATTGCCAAAAGTGTTTACGGTGAAGTTGTATCATTCAGGTAGAGATTTCACTGTCTCGAAGGTTAGAGATCGAAAAGATAGTGAAAGAGATTTACAAGTGAATGTTAAACACACTTTGTTTGTCTTGGCAATGATGTCGGAGTGAAAACAACCGCGTTTAAAGTACACGTTCAGCATATAAATGTAGGATCTTTCAATTTTATATGTTCGTAGTTGAAAGATAGTTAACAATGAATGTACAGCGGGCTAGGTAAGAATTTCCTCGAGAATTCACCTGGTCTTCCTCGATGAACAGGTTAAACGAGGCAGAAGGGATGTTTTTCGCGACGGGGAACGCTCGGCTGGCAGTCAGACGACGGAAATAACCGGATAAAGTTGTATGGAAGTCGTTTCTCCGGGTCTCGGTTGGCATTCTCCGAAAGGGAATCGAAAGAGAAATTCCGTTGAAACGTTCGTACCGCGTCGTCGTGCAGCTCGTGGATGCGAAGGAAGGAAGGTGGTTCACCTTGCAGGAACAGCCTTCCGTTATTCCTCGTAACACACGCCGCCACGGTCAGGCAATATCGATGTATCGATTGCGAGCCATCGATGGCGAGAAAATCGGCTCGATGTTGTTGCTCGCTTTCCTCGAATCGCTTGCTTCTCGTCGAACAAAGCGCGCCGAGAGGAAATGCATCGTGAAACTGGTCTCCTTCGATCGATCAACGTTCAATGCTTCTAGCCTTTTAGGCGATGAATAAAGAGGAAAGAAAAGAATCCTATCGAGAGTGGCGAGAAGCGAGAGATGAAAGAAAAATTCGAAGAGATTTAAAAATCGAGAGGTGATAATTACCTATTCGTCACAGAGACGACGATGTCAATTACAGTGATTAGCAGGAGAGTCGTGTCGATGGATGGAAAAGAGAAGAAGCACTTGGATAGCGAATTACGAAGGAACACGAGCGTGTTATGAGCCATAAAAGGCAGTCGCAGCAGGGTTCACAAAGGCCGTTCGAAAGGCGTGCCAGAAAAATCGAAGAACTTACGTTGCATTCCCGATGCAGCCTAAGTAGGCGAGCATAATTATGCGCATCTCGTATTTCGAAACTTCTCTTCGCTTCTCTTGTTTCGCGTTGTGCCACCGACTTTCCCGTTCCCCCTCGAAACTGCCGTCCCTTTTAACGCAGGAAATTCTTTCAAAATTAAATTAGAACCTTCTAGCGAATTTCGAGAAACGACGTATAAATAAAAATGAATTTCTAAATTCGTCGAAGCTCCTAGCGTGTACAGAGAAGAATTTCGAAAGCCTTCCGTTGGAGTTCGAAGAAAAGAAACCTCGAATTCATCGAACTGCCATTCGTCCGCATGATTTACGATGCTCGAAGCTTCTATTAATCATCGAAGAAGAAAAGATCAACACCTTTTCCTTACTTGAAAAGATATGCTGATAAGAATCGCGGTTCTGAATTTTGGGATCGTTAAAAAAACGAATCTAGCGGGGAATATTACTCTCGAGGCTATGTAAGGATCGAACAGTGATCCACGGATTTACTGATTGAGATCGTGAATCGGAGACAGCCACGCATTCCTTGAAGAAACGTGCGAGGATGGTTCAAGGAGAGGTTGCGATTGTAGAAAGCATGAAGGAAGAAGAAAAGAGCAAAGAGTAAAAAGGTCTGTGGGTCACTGTGCTAACCGATTACGTAACAGTATTAACCTTCAGCATTCGATTCTCGTATTTTCTACGTTTTCCTCTTCGATGGAATCCGATTAACAACCGATCGATTCTACGAAAATACCATTCGACTTTCGTCTATTGGAATATTTTTGACGGCCGCCATTTCGCTGAGTTTCTCTTCCTCCTCCGAAATTATTCATTTATAAATTACAATACTTGATAGAGGAAAAAGGAACAGAAATTTTTACAGATAAAAAAATATTGTCCGTAGAATTCCATCGATTATAAGGAACCTGAAAGAAGAATACAACCGTTTAGTGAACAACAGAAATAATATCTGGCGCCTGGTTGCATAGGTCACCAAGGAGAAGAATAAAAATGAAAAGACACCAAGATGAAGGCACGTTGCACGCACAAGATGGTGAACTACGAAAACTGGTTTCCACCAGCACCCCGTTATTTATTCTATGGTGAACGTGTGCCCCCGTTGGCATCCCGACCAGCGCATCTCGTCAAGGACTCGGCTTAGAGTGTGCTTAGAAATGCCATTGGATCCTCCTGAATCCACTGTCTTAAAGAACACTGATTTTGAAACAATCCAATTATCTACTTACAATTAATTAAAGGATTCGCTTCTCATGACAACGCCCGCTCTGGAATATAAAATATTCCGTCCAAATCCTCGTTTGGTCGGCTTTAAAATACACGCTAGTTTTTTTCTAGCCGTTTGAAACGTTCATTTTAGAATATTTTCAAGTTCCCATCTCGTCGGTTCGAAAATATTTGTAAGTCCCCGTTCCGTCGGACCTAGAACACGCTATTTCTCGTCTAGTCGGTGGGAAAGCTCGCTTTAAAATATTTGCAAACTTCCTTCTCACCGCTTCGTCCGTCGGCCGTAAAATATTCGCAAATCCTCCCTCGACCCTCCGAAACGTACACCAGTTTCCGTCTCGTTGCTTCCGAAATACTCGGTAAGCCCCTGTCTCGTTGATTCAGTGATGGTACCGTTTTATGATTTCAACTAACCGCGTAACAATGGCTGACGATCGCAAACAATGTAACAATGACTGTAATATTTCGCGATAATATTGACTGCTCGTTCCCATAGAGATACAACTTCGTTCCCGTCACAATGCAAGGGCTGTATTGTGCGATTCGAAACGATATTACCATATCAAGAAATCTAATATATACAACTGTTGCTCAACTAATATAAAGAAGATAAAGAATTGTTAATGAATCCTGATTTCAGTTCCAATTCGATGGGATCCGCGATTAATTTTCTTTGTTACCTTTTCACACAAATCGAAATTAATGTTGAAGTCATAGGAAAGAAGGTACGGTTAGGTACGATGAAATAAATTGATCATTACCCTCGTTATTCCGGCGTAAACGAGACTATCCTTTATAAACACGTACGATCGAACACGTGTTTCGTGATTAACGATCAGGAAATGGTTATTTCCTTATTTAATCCGAGCGTGGTTACGAAGTTTTGTTGGATTTATAGGAAATCCTACTTGTTCCTTTCGCGGGATCATGAATCACTAGCTCTTTGTTTATTTCTTCTCAACATTTCTCTCCTTTTTCATCGTTTAACTATCTTAACTCATTTAAGTTGAAACAAGTTAGGTAATGACTTGTTTATGTATCATACGGTTCTATTCGTAGAAGTGCACTTCTAACTGATGATAGTAATTTCGTTTAGTGGCTTGTATTTCGTGTATCTCGTTTCTCCGTGTATTTCCTTCGACGTTTGAGGGATTAGCATATAAGTGTTTCATCATTAGCGTTAGCAACGCATTCCAGTCCGTGGAACATTTCACGAATAGAGCTATACGGTTGCGCCGAGTGTTTCTTCCTTTTTAATCTCTTGATTGCCTCATCGATTTCCTTTCAACACCGACGTGCAACTGAATTTTCATTCCGACGAAAAACCGCAATGAAAGGGGCGATATTTCGTCGAAATAAATAGAGAGGTACGCGTGTTAATTTCGGACGAAAATAATTTATTTCTCCTCCATTCTATGGCTAGGATATTAGAGGATCCTTTTTATCACCTAACGACAGTATTATTCGTCGCTTTATTCGCGATATCATCACCATAGGAGGACGTTGTCGTTATTAACCATTATCTGCAACACGGTTCGAGTTATCTCGGAATTTATTATGTCCCAGTAAATCCTGTTCGTGGAAGAAACGTGCCGAGATAAAATACGAAACACGGGGCACCATAAGCCAACGGTGCAGGGAAACGAGAATGTGCTCGATCGATCCTCGAAGCTTTACTTTCGCAATGGTCCCTGTTTTATTGGGAACGATGCGTGCCATGAATTTTTTCATCGTTTTCACAGAAACCGCTGGTGAACGTCATCGACGAGAATCAACGTGAAATTTTCATCGGTAAAACGTACGATTATTTATTTATACGGAATGCCTTTTTTCCATGCTTGTAAATAAATAATTTCCAATAAAATTTCATTGGCAGAGTCCTCCGTTCCCCGTACCGCCTCAGCGTTGTACCGGTGTCACAACGGGTACCCTAAAGCAATAGTACATCCAGTAAAAGCTATTTTCACCGGGAACGACGTCGATAACCTTTTACCGTGTAAACTGCAAATTTATTGAGCACCGTCGGGTGCATCCCGTTGCAAACTCTGAAATAAACCGCGTTCTTGCGCAAAAACGTTAACGTTGACGTGCCGGTTAAAGAGATTCGAATGAAAAGAATAAAAGAGAAACGAGAATTATTTCTGCTTGGTAAATTCAAAAGCCCGTAAATAATTCATGTATCCTTGTACTGTCAGGATGGTAGTAAGAAAAAAAGATGAAATAAAATGGAAACAGGAAATGAAAGATTCCTTTGTGACACAATTATCTCGTGAACGTATAGGAAGATCAAAATGTACGAGTATCAATCGATGATCCTTTGTTCTCTGTTCGCTATTAAAATAAAAAATTCTTCTGGGTAAATTGCCATTGAAAAGGCTGACGCGGAAATAATTCTTCGTTAAACGACCTCTTTTTCAATGTTCGTGGAATGTTAATTTAGGTGAAAGAGCGATGGAGATTAAATTGTATTTGTAATTGATTCTTTAGACTGAAGAGCGAAGAAGAAACTTCTTCGAACAGCCAATTATTTGTAGCTAAATAAAAGCAGAATATTAAGGAAATAAAAGGATAAAGTTCAAGGTTTACGGTCCGCGAATAGACTGAATTTTTGCGCGAAGAATTTTCATGGAAAGTTGATCGTGATCGTCCGCGATACTACTTTCTTCGGAAACTTTTACGAGCTCCAGCGTTCTTTTCGTAGAACGCTTTGAAACGACTGTTGGTCTTCGATACCTTGGATACCATAAAAAAGAATCTCGTGAGATGGCTTTTCACTGGATCAACGAGCTCTTTTAACGAGGACCTTGAAAGTCTGAGGTGTTTTCTATTAGGTATCTTTACTGGTAAAAACGATTCAGTAAATTTATTCTTCTCTTCTTTTTCATATAGACATTTCTTCCTATTTTTGTCGCTTAGGTAATTTTAAAATACTTGCAAATCTTTAAGCATTTAGAAGATCGAGCGGCATAGGAAGTAGAGCAAGTACC